ATGTATAATGTTAAGAAAATGGAAAAAGAAAATTTAAAAAAAATGCACGAAAAATGCAAAAGAAGATTGAAAGGCTTCCGTTATATTTTTGTAGGATTGTTGTCCTAGTGATATTGTGCTCGTTTGTGTAATCTCTGAGAAAGGCTCAAAAAATACCCAAAGGCTTTCCGCATTGGTTTTTAGAGGTTTTTCATCGTTAAAACGATTGCCTCTGGAAGTGTCAATTATTAGAGAATGTCAAGTATATTTTAGAAAATAATTAAATACGTAGTACATAAATTAAATGAACAACGAAGCACAAAGCTCGAGTAAAAAACAAACCTACTAATGAATGTTTTTTATAACACCGAATCGGTTTTAACAATTTTCTAAGTTCTTTGACAACCTCTATTGTCGATAACTTCAAGCGAAGCGAGGGCCCGTCCGGTAATTTCGAAAAATCTCTGGCGGACAATCGAGTTTGCCATCCAGTTTGCCACCATTACTATATGATAGCTGCGTTCTGAAAACGAATTTATTTAAAGGATTGTTTCATTAAATTCGAATTCTCTCTTCATAAGTACCTAGCCAATTCTACACACAGTTTATTAAAAAACATAGACACGATGCTAGTCACGCTGCAGTATACATAACCAACTAGAACGATGGTAATGAGTAGAACTTCAGTTGATTTCTGTTGCCACAGAAGGCTTCACTTCTAGCGGCATCGATCTGAAAACAAAGCTGGTGTCGTTCATTGTTATTACTATTAGTTTATACGTTGGCGTTGATTTTTATACATATTTGTAAGGTCTGATCGAGCGTTGACAAGTAGAGAAAAGTAATGGTGGACCTAGAGAAGCTAACAGCTAAAAGTCAGTTAAGCTGCCTGTAGCTGCGGATTTTTGCAAAATAATTCATGTGCATCTAAAGCCGGAGAGCTGATCCTGATACGACATTTATATTTGCATCAAAATTTCATATAGACTCAGTGTGAAACTACATATTTTCCACTCCATGGGGCAGCTTACCTCCAAAGTTGTATGTGACGATAGAATAATTAGAATAATCCGTGCCGATCACCTTGACGGTGATAGTGTCCCCCGATAGAGCGACAAAAGCAAAACCGTCCTCCAGGGGATACGCAGGATGTGTAACACGGGCTGCCTGACTAAAACAAATGAATCAATATCTTTCCGAGCTACTATAGTTTGCCAATAAAATTTCAAAGCGGTCGCTGTTGAACATTTCTTCAACACGTTATATCGCTTAACGAACAAGCGCCATGGCAGAGTCTGTGTACCTAATCAGGCCCTGCAGTGAAATCATTTTCGCCACGCTTAGTCCATTTTATATTTGTTGTCAGTTGCCTCCGTTGTTGTAATTATTATCTATTTACGTGTGGTAAATTTTAGTCGATCTTCTTCAAATAGAATTTTTTATTAATATGGGGCTAATAAATACATCAATTCGTATCGTTTGTTGACAAACTTACAAGAGAAAGTAATATTAATATACATGCGTTATATGAAGATATGTTACTTACTTCTGCTCCATTAACTCCACAATATATGTGAAGTTGCCCTTCTCTCGATTCTCCTAAAATAATTAAGTTCCAAAATAACTAACTGAACATCAAAAGGCAACTCAATCTGTCACAATCGTATCTAAACAGAGGAGCCGTTTTGTAACCCTGTCAAGCCTGATATGTGGTAATTTCTATGGCCTGGGTTCTCTGAAAGCTTGAGCCCGGTTTAGAGCTCAAGGATTTTATATAACTTACGTAGTGCCACTTGACTTTTTTACAGCAAATAAAAAATGACATATTGCGTACAAATATCTTCTATGTAGTAAGTAGATAGGCCAGATTAGGCAGCATTAGATTTTGTTCAAATAAGATTTAGCTGTACGTTAAGATTACTGTATTATATATAGAGTTTTTATGAGGTCGTAACTAATAGGTGGCTATGCTACCTCGATCGACGTTGTAACGCAAGAAGCATCTTTTCTTCGAATTACTTTCCCTGGTACAATCAGACCACCTCGATGAGTAACGTAGAATTTAAGATTTTTATACTGCAATAATTAGAAAAGGCACCACAAACAATGTATATATATATATATATATATATAAATATATTGGAGTTAATTTATTATTCATGAATCTATCCACACACGCTTGGGAAGAAACAGTGTAACTTTTACCAGAGCCGCGGCGGACATCAGCGACATATAAAATACATAGTTAAAACAACGAAAAATAATACCTGTATTTGATAAAGCAAGTCCATAAAACCACATCGAACGGAAGCACTATTACTACAATCTAGAAAACCGTCGAACAACATGAGTTACGTAAGCGATCTCTGTTGCACATACCTGGTCAAAGTCAAAAAGTTCATCCAAAACTTTTTGGCCTAAAATGACCACCACACATGTTACAAAGACTAGAAGCTGTGAAGTGAGCTTCATCGTACGCAATTCTACGAGCTCTGTTGAAGACGTAACTGAAATCTAACGTATATATAGCCGACAGAGCTAGCTAATGATTGTTAGGAAGCGATTTAGCGCGCCAATGTGGAGTTTTTTTTTCTGGAACTGAGCTTTTTTTTATTATTTCGGGATGCATTAGCTCTAGAGTTGCATCGTTTCGCTCGATTTAACTCAAGGTCCCGTTTAGATGCGGCCAACAAGCTTCAATCTAGTTTCAGAGATTCGTTGAATTTAAATCTAGTCTCTCTCTCCAGTCAGCGTGGACACTGTGTAGGTCGTTTTACGAAATTATCATCATACTACAATTTATAGAGGCACCTTATTTATCTATAGAGATTATTCGATGGTGTTTAATTTATTGCTACAAGACCAATTTCGCCATCGTCAGCATTTGATATACTTGCAGGTACATCAGGTTGCTCTGTACAAGCTTTAAAATATTTTCTAGTGTAACGGTTATTTCCTAATTTAAATTACTGACGTTATGTCATCAGTAACTTATTTTGACTTAGAGAGCAACAGAACGAGTGCTGCTATTAATATCTGCAGATAAGTAAAAAGTTACCAAGGTCCGAAATCTTGTTGGATATTAGATTTATCTTTGAAGAAAAACTCGTTTGTAGTTAATTAAGTGGAAAAAAGCATCCTATGACAAGGTATAGCATATCGGCTTGTACCTAATTAAAATTGTCCTAATGGGTTATTGGCAATTCCGAAATAATTTTTTCGCAATTCTTCCAAAATTTGCGAATTATTAATTAATTAATAGGTATTTTGCATTATTTAAAGCGTAGTTTAACATTTTGATCGAACTCTGAGAAGAATAATAATACATTTAGTTGAAGTCGTTTGTGAAGTCTTACCTTCGAGTACGAAGACAGTCTTTTGCATTGCAGGTAGTACGGGCTAGAATACCGTACCACTCCAATTAGCACTTATTGAAAATATCGGAACATCTATTTAGCATTTTTGACGTCGTCTTATCTCTGCTAATTCATTCCAGTCAATGTCGCGGCAAAACAAATCGGCCTAGAGGTTATCGGAATCTACCCGTTGCACCTATACAGGCTACAGCCTTATTGGCAATGTTGCAACGTTCGCGTGTCGTCTTCTCGATAGCCATTTTACAGCAGTCTTATGAAAATTCGTATGCAGTGGCTACACAAATGGCCCTTTTCTGGCAATTGTAAATCCTACATTAAGTGAATCCAATTACCTGTATCATAAAGAGCCCACATTTAGCCCAACTTAGGATTCGAGATTGGTCTGACAAGCTATCAGGCGCAACTGTGCCTGCGCTCTCTATGTTCCGAGGCCTCATTATCCCGATTTCATCCACACTTTACTTGACTACCGACCTTATTGGGACTGGCTTATTAGTGCACTGTGTGGTCGTAATGCCCTTACGATCAAGATGAGCCCTTTCCACAGTCAAATCTACGCACGGAACGGTAACCGATTTGAATATTATTATATCGCCCACCAAAACAAGAAGCTCACGATGGTGATGTCTTTCTCTCTGGCTGTATCAAAAATTAGGCAATTAATTTGGTACATTTTAAACAGGTAACAGTAGTAATACCTTTTATTTCTATTCACTATAAAAGAACAACCGATGTCAAGTAGAAATGTCAACTGTATAAAATAACGTATAAATCACGAACTATATAGTTGATTCACTAGAAAGGAGGTTCGTGCAGGACGATTATGTTCGATGCGGGTTTAATGCCGGAACATCGGAAAATTATTGATCAGTCTCGTTTTAGGTTCTTCTTTGGCGTGTTAGTGTCAGTTGCAGGCCAAAATGTTAAACAGAACACGTGCAGATGACCACGTTTATTTCACGACATTTTTCTGTCGACCTATGATACACATATATTTATCTTTAGTTCAGTAGTGATAGGCTGAAGGATGTATAAACCCTCCCCTATTTCGTACAGAATTGATTCGCTGTTTGTCGTCAGCTGTCCTGTTGTTCACATCGTCATTAAGCGTGTATTGACAGTCCTACTTAATGGTAGCCGTATCCAAGACCGGCTCCGTGTCCAAGAGCGAAACCGTGTCCAATAGCGGCAACGGGTGCGGCATACGAAGCAATTGGCGCAGCTGCAACGGTCTTGGTGATAGCAGCAGCTCCAGGTGTAATAATCGAGGTAGCAGCAGCAGCAGCAGGGGCCGTTCCGGGTTCATTGGTTTTGATCGAAGCGCGGAAACCAAGACCGTCAGCGACATAGTTCACGACACGGGAACGGCCGTCAATGTCAACGAGACCATACGACCCGGCCACGCCGAGCTTGTTGCCAGCCTCCGAACGGAAGCTTCCACCAGTCGCGTGCTTCTCATCGTAGACGAATTTGTAGTTGCCAAGGCCGTCCTCGGCGCGCGACGACACCGACGAACCGGTAGAGAGTGCGGCGTGGCCAACGAGACCGGCCTGGGCAGCAGCGCAGAGGGCAGCAAGAGCAACGAATACCTTCATAGCTGGCAACTGATCGACTTCTGCGTCCGCTTTGCTTAAACACTAAGTAAGCACTGATACCGTTCACTTGTACAGTGTCCGTCTTAAATAGCGATAGCGGCCTGGACAGCGTCGAAAAGCGCCGGGTGTGTGTGTGCATCTGTGTGCGAGTACTAGCAACCCAAGCACGCGTCGGCCGGGTTTACCATCGGCCATCCACCCACTTTTTCCGATCTTGAGGAGGAGGCGACGCCTATGCTGGCAGCGAAGGTGGCGGTGTGAACATCGTACGATGAGATAGACGGCTGTGCTATACGACAAGCGGAGACGTATACAAGGACAAGAAGTAATGTTATTCGTGGCGGTAAGTAGTGCTTAGGTTACAGCTGATGCTGCCATTGGCATATGTGCTACGACTCGCGCGAGAGCTGTCCCTCTTGGCTTGATTTAGGTTTCAGTCGATTCGAGCATTTGGAAAGTAACGTCCGTTCCAGTAGCGAAACATTGGCGCCCTCACCGACAAACAGACCCCACCCCACGAAAGCGATTCAAGCGGACGTTTGCCCAACTTTTCACCAGGAACCTTCTTGGTTACATATATGTCTATCTAACTACTATTCGCACTATTAAATCGCGCCATGAAATAATTACTACGCCACACCCGTCGATGGATAAAGCGACAGTTGCAGGCGCTGTCGCCATCTTCGCGTCCAGCATATTTGAGAAAAGAAACACGCATTTTGTCGACCACTGCGATTCCGCCACTGTGAATTTTAACCAGAATTGAACGTCGAACGGATGCCAGCAACTCGTTACTCGGAGCTATAGAGCGGAAGCGGCACCCAACGCGACCACAATGAAAGAACAGAAATGACTACAAAATACCCGATGCGCGCTTTCTTCTAAGTAACAGAATCACTCTTCCAGAAAGTCTATAATAGCTATAACATTTTGTGATACATTTAAAATATGGTCAACTATATGACTCGTTTGCTTCATTGAAGCTCGGGCAACGACACAAGTAACGGTTCTGCCGCATTTACAGAGCTAGGAAGGAAAAATCGCAAAAATAAAAAAAACGTAAAGTAAAGTATCGACAGAGGACATTTACTAGCATTGTAATATTGTGCTCGTGAATAACACGTTTCTTTGTTACGCGGGGCAACGGGTAGGAGGGCAGTGGACTCAGGGAAAACAGGCGGGAAAGGTTTGTTTATTATACATCTTGACTAAAGGTGACTCGCTGAAGGGCGGGACCGCAGAAGATAAAAGGTAAACATGATTTTCATTTAGGAACAGAGTTCAGCACAGTTGCGCTCGGCTATTAAAGACTTAATTTAATTATTTTAAAGTTAAAACGTCTGCAGAGAACGATCTTTTGTTGAAAGATTATTTCATTTACTTGTGTTACAATGCGACCATTGAATACACGCCAGCTAAGAGCTAAGAACAATTGATATTCCAATACTTGTGAACTTTTAGAATGTACATACAGGTTATATCGAACGACAAACCCTTTACCAAGGACTTCTTAACAAAACGTGCTAAAGAAGATGTCGACTCAGTGGATAGTAGTATTTAATATAGGCATCATAAACGATATGACAGGTAAGTATAGGCTAATATTTAATTACTGTATATAGTGTTACAGAATATCTACTTAAATAGAAAACAGTACGTCGTAGTAATTAAAGCAGGATTGGAATTTGATAAAAATCGAAAAACGATATATGTATATACAAAACATATCTGTGTGATATACTTTTGGCTTCGACGTCCCACCCTAAAACCTCCGTTACAATCTCCCTTACTTGTCCTCGTTATAATGTTACTATTGACCTTGTGTATTTGTCCAGTGGTGGACCTCAGCACTACTACTAGCTCAACCAACGATTACGATAAGCCTACAGTATAAAATAGTTTTTGACGAGTGAACACTTTTTTTAGTTAGATCGAAATTGAAGTAAGTTGATAAGGTCTTAAAGCAAAATTGCAGGAAAAAAAATTAGGAAGAAAACACTCTATAGAAACCGTTTTTCTCAGTTCAATTCAAAATCAATATATTTTCCAGCACCAGAACATAGTCATAAGTATTTTTCTCAATTACTGATTCAGTTGGCAGCTCGAAGCTTTGTATGTCTGTCTTTAGAAAACGTTTGATCGCCACGGCTCAAACAGATGAACTCTCATTTTCTGCAAAAGAACAATTCTCACCTGACGACCACAGTCGAAGAGGGACCGAGTCCTATGAAACGAATGGCCATTTGCCACTGAACCGTTGGCTAGAAGAAGCCGTCACAGAATAGTAAACTGTTATATATATATATATATAATAGATAATCCGCTAAACCAGTGTTTCCCTCGTGCGCTTCCTGAGGAAAATATCTATAAAAGAAACATAGATACTAGACGTATGGAACTTTTGTAGAAATCGTGACAGAACATCAGTGTTTTTGTTATTTCAAGAGGTTCCGCTTTGATTGCACGAAAGTACCACACCAATTGCGTACTGAGAAACATTTTCATAAAAATATTTAATATCTGGCTGTTGTGCTAGCGTTCGTTACTTATATAACAATTGTTTAAATCAGATTATCATTGCCCTTCGTTACTCACAAAAGTTAACATTTATACGGTCGTATGGAATAATTATCTTTCGCTTACTGGTCTTCATGGCTGATCATGCAAAACTGCACTATAGTACTCCAGATCACTTTAGTGATTCAATGATAACTGTCCTATATTCTATATTAGTAATCTCTATGCAGGTGATTGATGTGATGAAAGATGCAGAGCAGGATGGGGCAGGTCAGATCCATGGTTTCAACAACGAAGAAGCAATTAGGAAGTAAGTAAAAGAAATGCAAAAAACATGCCTGTGAAGAAAAACAACAAATATACCACCAATTATAATATGTTTCGGTGTTCCAATGTCTACATTGTACAGCCTGGATTACCGTTATCGTGCATATCGATTATTATTGAGTTTCTATCCGTCACAAACTTGCACTCTCACCAATTAACGTATGTTATTGTTTCGACCCTTCGTTGCTAATGATCTCTGAGTCGTCGCCAGTCACATATACACACATTGGCAGCAGTAGTTGATTGATATGTTATCCGTTTCGCCTGCATATAGGAACTTTTTATCTATATCTGGCGCATTACTTTTTCAAGCCACAGAGACAAACGATAGCGCATTGAGAGAATAGCATAAAGGTCCACTATTCTAGCCCAATGTATGTGCGGTCAACCCACAGAAACCGCTGATATGAACATAAGTAACATGATTTAAACAAATCAATCGATCATGATTTTACAAGGCAAGACACATTCGTGTGAAGTGACGTGAAGAATGAGTATGACATACATACAGCAATAGCGTCCATGAATGTCTTCCTATAATGGTTGGGTTCCATTCTATTCTCATGTCTTGACAAAGATGGCTTGTGCACGCGATGTCCCTGAACGTTTTCTATATCCTTTTTTCCAAGTTATACAATTGAAATTATACAATTGGAGACTCCTGTTTTATATTTATTGTGATAAGATAACTAATGGCTTCGTAGTAATTTCTGCCTCCGGTGCACGTACACTGTGCCAACATATACATATTATATACACTACTATCCCCGAGTAAGTCCAGCCCGTTGAGTTGCCGTCGCTACGTTGTCTCGATGAATTATAAAAAAAAAAAAAAAAAAAAAATATGACTAACCATGATTGCACCATAATACCGTAACCTTCACAGATGTATTATTATTCATGCACTATCGTGATAAGTTGTGACCAGTTCGACCAATACATCGAAAGCAGCAAGACTTGGTCAGCGTAATGGACCGCATCCTACCTAAATGAAGGACGCGTACGCAAATATTAGGTTTAGAATACTTGTCACCGAGTATAAGTTCGCTTTTTATACGCTATGGGTCTAACGTTTTTGCGATTTCGGTAATTCCAAACAGAAGGCCCCGTTAAAAATGTTGGCTATAATGTCCAGCGACGTTATGAGTGTCTGTGACTGTGAATGGATACTGGAACGCGATTAAATATTCAAGCATTTCTTATGGAGATGCCTGTTGCAAAACGAGTGGATTGCCAAAACAAGACTCGTACTCGCGGGCGATCACAGCCGTGCAATGCGTACCAGCTAACGTACCAGTATGTTGTCACTGAGTAAATTTGGCTACCGAAAGAATCTTCTTAGTGTTTAATTCAGTTACTACCGCAGAGCATCCGGTTGAGTGACTACACTTAGTCCTAGACTGGTTAAAGTTCCAGCGCAGAGCGCTTCTTTGCTCTTCCTTTGTGGAGTCGTAGCTAAGCTTACGCCTCTGAAGAATCATAGTATACGTTGTCATTTCTTCAAGTTCCATTTCGTATTTGCCCTTCATCAACAGAAATCACGAGATTTCTTCGGTCGGAAAATGCCACTTGTGTTACATTGTAGTTAGAAAACAGTGTTGCATTTTACGTATTTCATTATTTCTTAGTTTTACTATAATTGTTTTATTATTCGAGCATATACTCACTCTATCCTTCCTGCAAAGATTTTACCACACATTGACAGTTGTAGACAAAGCCTATAACTGGGTTAAGAGTCCTTGTGAGTTGTTGAATTTTCACACCCGATATATGCGTAAACACAATGAAATATCACAAATCACAAGTCGCAACGCACAACCAGAGAAAAGTCAATCAACCTGTAAAACAACTTGTGGCCTAAACGCAGTACGAAAAAAGGACAAATAATAGAACACCAGCGTTTTGTTATTTAACATTATTTACGAACAATAGTATATA